AGGTGACAATATCCTCTTTGTTCTATTTCTTCAGGTGAACATTCATCAAAAGGTTCTGCAACAATTGAGCCAATACAAATGCATGCTGCCGGAATATCAATAACCTCCAAGAGAATCTCATTAAGAGCACTGAAGATATTACCATTTCCAAGACAAAGGATCCATCACGAGAACTCTTATTCATTATCATTTGCTCTCATATTTTAGGTTAACCTCAAAATGATGCCATATATTAGATCATTTCAGGCAAGCATCTACTACAGCAACTATAGGAATCCAAGGAACAACTTGGACAATTTGTCTGAAATCTCTTCCAAGGAGGATCACTTTAGCATGATACAAAACCGCAACTCACATAATTATTCTGCTAGCACTTATCTATTGCATAAAAGGCATAGCATGGTATCATTGATGTGCCATCAATAATAAATACCTTCAATGTTCTTATATAGTTTGCTTGCTGTGAGTTAGGTGAAACATTGCAAATATGTTTCTGTTAAAGGAACAGGCAATTTGAAGAAAGAGTTTTTCCTCTCTGCCCCATTACTAGCCCAGGCAGTTGTTGCTGAAATAATATTGTTTGTGGTTAAGTGAGTATATAATGTGTTGAATAAACAGGTTTTCCCTGATCCATCAGTTCTACCATTCTGTTGTGCCCACTCATCTCTGCTGCAGTTATTACAGCATTTACCATTTACATTTGTTTATTATTTTCTGAGTCAAGGTTTGGTGGATTGATTTAACTAAATGTTTTCACTGTTGCCTGTTGGTTCCATCCTCCAGAAAGAGGTTCCATTCTTTGGGAAAATTTCATTTGACAAGTACAGTGCTAAATTTTCAGTGGCAATTTCATCATTATCTAAAAGGAGATTTTCCATCATATTGTGCTTGCATTCATTCCAAAATTGCAGTGCATTCACAGGATGGTTGAATAGAGACATCAAGGCAAACATGTTTAACATCTGAGTATAGAAACTCTCTAGCTGCTTCATCAAGTTAATTTAAACAATGCAGTTAAATGCACATCACAGCATTGTACTTGGAAAGCAGCTTATATCTGCTTGCCTTCTTGATAATACATGTGTTGTTCTCTATGTAAGTGCAAATCTAAACGATAAACAGGGTTGGTCTCTCCATGGATTTTGTACTCTAGGAAATACCACATGACTTCTGAAGATGAAACATATCTACAGGATAAACATTGCTTGATTTCACCATGTCTTTGTCCTTCTGCTTCAGTTGCCATTACCTCTCAATTATTGATTTCCATCACAGTTATGTCCTTTATACACATATGTACTTAATGCTTTTTACTAAAGAGTGTACTTCCAAGTTAATATGAGTTTGATAATTTTTCAGAAGGTATTTATTGAAAGATATGACATTGATTATCTATGTGATAATCTCCTACTTGTACAGTTTAACCATTATTACATCTTTATAGACAGGATAACCTTTAATAATGTTCAGACTACATTTATAGGTAATAGAGCAAATAGAAATTCATTGTAAAGTGATAACCCAAGAAATCATTTACAAAGTTACCTCAGTCTGTAACAAATTCGGCAAAGATAAGATTTACAAAGAAAAACAAGATTTCAATTTGATAAGGTCACTAGCAATTCAAAGACATTCGTCTTGAACAGATCATTAGGTCATGAAACATGATTTAACCCCTCACTACAAACAACTGCCTTTATCTAAGCTGCTCCCCTGCAATCACTCTGTGTCAAACTCTTTTTTTTGTCTCTTTACATCACTCTCTACTTTTTATCTTCTATGACTGTCACTCTTTTTTTGTTTCCCTTTTGGACACTCAATACAGTTTAGGTTTAATAGGATGTTTGCAAATAATATGTACTAACACTTTTTAATTTTAATTTAATAATTTTTATTTTTATTAATCTATTAATTTTCAGTTTTATTTAATTTTTTGTATAATATTGTAGTCTTGGAGTTTAACCCAGACACATATGCACACATTAGAAGTATCCTAGTCTTGGATTGGCTCTTATGGAGATGTTACCCAGAAAATTAAGTATAGTGATGTGTAAGAGATATATAAGTACTATCTGAGTTATATTTTAAGATAATCTAAACTTTCTTTAAAATATACTTTAAGAATTATTAAAAATTTTAAAAACCATAAAGTTTACTTAAAATAAAATTTTTAAAAAGTACACAGTAAATTAAAGTCGATCCCAACTTTGATAAAAGCTGAATTTTATGGAACAGAAAAATTATACTTTAATGAAATAAACATGTATGAAATGTAAACAAATTTGCAAAGATTAAAAGAAAAATTCTAATTTCAAATTGTCATGTGCAGTTCAAGGGTAAATTTGTCCTCAACAGACAAATCACAAAACATGATTTAACCCCTCACTATAAATAACTGCCTTTAGACCCCTCCAATCCTACTCTCTGTGTCACTCTACATTCCTCTGTCTCTCTGTTTTCCACTCAGGATCTATGATACTCACCATACATTGATACAAGCATATATAAGAGAGAGAAAGAAAAGTTATAGCAAATGACCTGGACTTTGGAAAAAGAAAAAATTGTAGAAACAATGTATTATTATAGAATTATTCTTTTGGGTTTGTTCTCAGCTTGCATCTACAGCTTTCTTTAATTATTCCTGAAAACTTTCAAGAAACATTGAACAAAACTTTTGATGTTGTCTTGGTATATTGCTGTCAACCTTTGCTTTTTGTCACATCCACTATCTTTCCTAGGAATTTCAGATTTTGGAACTGACACCTTTTCCCTTGTGTTGTTGCTCTGCTTTCTCTACTAAACTGATCAATGAGCCTGCACTGCTTGACACTGAACTAACAAATTCCAGGAAAGAAGACTAATACTCTTATCTATAAGACCAACCCTAGCGCATAAAATGTTAGTAAAGTATCTATGGCCACAGATGGATGAGAATTAATAGGCTATTAATATATGCTTTTTCACTGAGAAAAAAAAAAAAAAAAAAAAAAAAACAGCTTAGCATGATGAAAAAGGCCCCAAATTTAATAAAAACAAAGTTTTATCATCAAAATTTTTTTGTTATTATTAAGAGGAAAGAGCAAAGTATTTTTTATTATTTTATTAAATTTTTTAATTCTCTTTTTTAATTCATTCAAAATTTTGGTTAAAAATCGTTGTTGTTTTTTTTTACATCAGTAGTCTTTGTAATATTTACCATTAGTGTTTTAGTGCCTTCTTTCTTGCAAAAATCAAATAATTTTTGGATTTTAGTGAAACTTTCAGGACTTATTCACAAATGAATTAAATTATTTTTGAAATTCTTTTTTTTTTTTTTTCAGAAAATCTTGCTAAAAAATATTTTTTATTTTACATATGTTAACACATCACCCACCCACCTCCTGCTCACTTAATTTAATGAAATTTCAAGAAATTACATTTCAATCATTAAATTTGTTTCATTAGATTTTAACTAATAAAACAAATTTTGTAATTGGAGAATTTAAATCATCACCCAGTAACTGAAAATCTGCTCTGAATAGTAAAATAAAAAATACATTATGACCTTATTTAATTAGAAAAGCTTTTAATTGCTTTTATAAATAAATTTATTAAGGACACTATTGTCTTAAGAATAAATTTTTTACAATGAATAATGAATTTTTACAAGAATTGTTTTCATTTTTTTTTTTTTTTTAAATTTTAATTATAATAATTTATAATACTATAAATTGTTTAAAATTCTGCATTACTTCAATCCGGTTAGGTGATAATGTTATTAAGTGAAAACTATATTTACAAATTAAAAATTGAAAAGTTCAATAAAAGTCATTTGCACCCAACATTTTTAAATTTTAAATTCTTTATGTATATAAAATATTACATAAAGTGCCACTGTTTGAAAGTATGGTCAACCTTACATGACATAATCAGAAAATAAGAGTGATGACTATAGTAAATTTAAATTTAACATTCCTAAAATTAGATTACGGAGAATATTTTCCAACATTTTTAAGATTACTGAGTACTTAAAAATTATATAAAAAAGGTGCTCCCCTGTCATTTTCTTAAATTATGTTTTAACAGATAAAGTCTACATAGAACAACAGTAAAAGTGTTGACAGATTTTATCATTACTTGTTGAGTGATCTATAAGTGACAAGCAGGTAATCACCACTATTGTTTGTTTTAAAAATCCATTTCTCTGTTATTTTAAGCTTAAAGTAAATAATATTTTTTCAAATAAAATTAATTATACTTTAAATCAGCTGATATTCCTCAAATAAATTTTCAGAAAAATTATATTTCATTTTTGCAAGATTTTTAAAAGCGAGAATTAACTTTTGATTACAAATGTGTCAAAATGTATCAAAAATAGCCGATTTTGTGAAAATTACCAAAAGCTGAGATTCCAATCAATCAATATAATTTCTATTTGAAATACACCAGAGTATTTTGCTTACTGGAAATCATTTAGCTTTCAATTAAAGCTAAAATGAAAGCTTCAAGAATGCTTTTTCCTTTTTAAAAATTCATTTTAAACCTTAGGTATCAAAACTGAGTGGAGGTGCCTATATTAATATTATCAATTCATCAACAATTTATAGTAATCATGTTCAAGAATTAATTACATTACTTATGTATAGACTATTGTCCTCATCTGTCTTGCTATCATGACATTTCGGCCATTGTGTCCTCCGGCCTTCATCAGGTGTATGTTAATTTGGGTAACCTACAGAGTATTCCAAACTGAACCCTTTATTCCATGAAAATAAATTGTTCTCAATCCACTGTCCATATCTAGGGATATTTTATCTAGTTCTTATTTTTAGTACTGCTCAGTTATTGCTCACCCTATTTCTACTCAATCCAAGGATTGAACTCAATTACCATGTCACCAAATTTACAGGACAATGCTATTATAAAAAGTGTTCAATAAAATATGTCTTGTTGAACAAAGACATTAACATTTCATCTGGAACCATATTTTCATACCTTCAATATTAACAAGAAATACTTACTTGGAAATAGTTTGGAAGACCTAATGCCATCCAAAGACATCACAAATATTTCAGGGTTACCCAAAGAAATGTCTGCAGGTGAAGAAAACCTAAAACAATGAACAAAACAAGAAAATAATTTTTAATTATTGAAAATATTACAGGCTCATTACAAAATAAAGTATTTTGCTTTCTTCTTTTACTTATAAATTTATTTAAATTATAAAATTTTGTTTGGATTCAGCTCATGCCTTTGTATGCAAGATATAATAAACTATTTATTTTTAATCATAGTTATGTAAAGTTTAAAACTACTTATTTAAAAATTAAATTTTAAAATTTAAAACAAGCTATTTAGAGAAATTTGTACATATCAAATTATCTTTACTTCCGAATTGGATTTAAAACTAATTTAATATTTACTAACAATGTCTGAAAAATAGAAAAGTTGGATTGAGAGAAACAAAAAAACAAGATTTCTTCATGAGATTTCTTTTACTTCTAAAGTACACTTGATAAAATTTCAAAATATAAACAATAATAATAAAGCAATAAAGCTACTAAGTATTTCTTATAGTTGATTTTTTTTTATCATGGTTTCTTTTAAAAAGAAGCTGCTCCATTATTTTAAAATGTGAAATTCTATCAAGAAAAGATTTATTTCTTTAATTGTCAAATCATGATTCATTATTAGAATTTCCTTCTTAACCCTGCCTTCTACAACCGATATACAAATACAATTTTTCATGCAGACATAGCTTCACTGTTACTGTAATATAAATGGAAAATTTCAAAGTAAAAATTTATACATATTAATGATCTGCAAAAGTATTTTATTATGGAGTCCCCTGATGTCAGAGGCAGATGTTGGTGGTTCGGCTGTAGAGGTGGAACATTCCTGTCAATAACCTATATTTGTTTTTCTTTTATCTTGTTTTAGACAGCAACTGAGCAGCAGTCTGGTTAAATGACGTCTGACATGAAAGTCTGTACAAAGCAAAGCTGTGTCATCCATCAATACTTGCTGAACTATTATGGAGATCAAATATTGGATGTGAATACAGTCAGGTAGTGGGTAATACATTTCAGCAGTAATGATAATGACGTGTGTAACTAGCTACCCTATGGGTAGCCCTGTACAACTATTAGCTCACAAAATGAAAAGTTCCTCAATCAGTTTATCTGTATACAGAACTGAATATCATCTTCAGTGAATTGGAAAATATGTTGTCAAGAGTGGGATATCACAGGTAGGTCTCAAAGATACGAACAGAGTGACTACTAAATGCAAGACTAAAGGTGTTACTATTATGAATTGGAATCAAAACAACAGTGCATGAATGGCAACATGGAAATTCCAGATCAAAGACAAAATATTAACAATGCAGATGTCAGTGGGCAAAGTGCTGTGCACTCTCTTTTGAGACAGAAAAGGCATGGTCCTCCTTGATTTCATGGAGTTCAAACAAGCCATCAAATCTGACCATTACATCACTGACCCAGGGTGGTAGCACCTGTTAGGGTCCCAGCTATGGGCAAATAGTTAACCCTGAAACTGACGTAAAAAGCATTATAAAAGTGTAAAAATAGGTTTTAATACCAGAAATAATTTGTAAAAGATTATTACCAGAAATTAATTTTTGAAAAAAAAAAAAATACCAGCAATATATTTTTGAAAAAAAAATATTACCAGCAATACGTTTTTGAAAAAAAAAAAAAAAATATTATCAGCAATACATGTGATTGTACTCAAAAATATGAGTAATTAAAAAATGGTTCAAATATTTATGTATACATACACAGCTTTTTTACCAAACTATCACTATGAATCTATTTCAAAAATTTTCTTGGCATTAAATGACCCACTGAGGTTGATATGCCATAAAACAACCAACCAACCATTACATTACAACACTAAGTTGCAGACTTGAATTTGCAAATTCTGTTCAAAGAAAAAACCTTTTGCTAGCAACACAATCAATTTAAAGACCAGGATCCACAATGCAAAATTTGGCTGAATTATCCTAAAATACCCATTGTGTAATTCATTTGACTTTCAACTGTTTGAGTTGAGGAAAGATGAAGAAATTTTCCATGTTTTGAAAATGTGGGTTGCCTCCACTGGTTGTCGTATGTAATACCACTTGCAAAAATGCATAGCCAATGGTAGTGACTACATTGAAATAACATTTTTAGCTGAAAACTTGTATCCAATGGTGTTATTGCACTCTTGTATTTATTGTAGTTTCCATGGATATAGATAAAAGGTATTACATTCAGAGAGTCTGTTATAATTCTATAGAACAAAAATAATTAAGCTCAATTCAATTACAGTAGTAGTAGTAGTAGTAAGAGTAAAATAAAGATTACCTTTTATCACAACATTCCAGAATTCCTTCTGTTTCAATTTGTTTTAAGGTTAACAGAGCTTGGTCAATCAGTTGAGGATCTGGTATATTTGGTTTGTCTTCTGATGAATCACTTATAAGAATGGAACACATTAAACATTGCTTCTGAATAAACAAAATAAATAAAAATATAGAGTTTTAGAAGTTTTAATGAAATTAGTTTGGAGTAATTTTACGGCTTTCACCTACTGGCCTTTGTCATAGTTGGCTATTGGGGTAGAGGGTGATACTGCTGCTGCTATCTAAGTAGGTAAAATAATTATGAGAGAGTAGCTTGGCCAAGATATCACTGATCCATTCTCTTCTTTTTCAATCATTGTGGCATGTCAGTGATAAAACATTTTGACAATATAAATGTTGACTGCTAAGATAGACTCATGCTTTTCCCCAAGCATGTAAGTATGAAATGCACCTATATCAAATATTTTTACAAATACAATTCATCAACAAACCAATGAATTAGTGTCACTGTTTTTTATATGGAAACAGCTTTTTGACAAAATCCTGTTGGTAACATGCTTAAAGTCTCTGACATTTTGATTTCTAATGTTTTCAATTCAGGTGACATTTCATTATTTTTCTTGATTCCAAATTAACACTGATGAATTCTCTTTGCAAGAATATGGTTGTGAACATGAAGAATATGCCAGTGAACTGTTATTCTTGAATTTAAGAATGTTATATAATTTGATTGCTTCATAAAGTTAAACTTTTAAAGAAAATTTGACATCAATTTAACAAAAAATTAAATATGAAAATTACATTTTATAATATCCATCCACAAGAATCACATAACTTTACTTTCTGTATTTCTTACTTGAGATTGACTCTATTATGGCTTTTATAACCTAACTTATAAAAATATATTTTTTTTTTTTTACACACTCATTGATAAATGTTTAATATCACCTAAAACTTATCAGTTACCAGATTTTTGGGTACAAAAGATGTACATTTATTTTGAAGACAAAATTTTAGGAATAAAGCATCAATTTGATGGAGTTTTATTGAACAAAAATTCAATTTTACACTTTTGTCTATATTGTTCTAAACAAAAATGCTCAAAACATCAAAATCATTAAGCACATGCCAAATTGCTGAGTATCCAGTGAAAATTGAAATATCAATTAATTGATTACCAACAGTAAATTGTATTAAACATTCTGATTGGTTAAGAAGTTCATTGCACATTAGAAAGACTTACTATTGTTATAAATAACCCATTCAAATGAACTAAACGATGCATGCTTATTTAAATATTATATATATATATATATATATATATATATATATATATATATATATGTATGTACTATTCACACTTTTGATCTATTGAATACAAGCAGATTTTAACTTCAAATTTTGGGATAAAAAATGCATCTTTACACCAACCAATGCTGTATATAAGGATGTTAAAAACTAAAAAATACGTCAGATAATTTCTAGATAAATTGTTTAAATACAGTAAATTGATTGATTCTGAATTCCCTTACCTGTCCTACAATAAGTAAAGAATGATTATTCTTTTTGGTACAGTATCCCGGTGTTGAACAATTTGATTGTGACAAAAACACTTTATGCCAAATGATTAGCTCATTATAAGAATGGTCTTGGCTGAACTGAACAAGGCCAAGTACTCTAAGAACTGACCAGACATCCAATAATTCATTCACAGGTAAATGATTACAGACCATATAACCCTGAAACAAGCAAAATAAAAATAGTCAATTTATAAAGGAAAGAAATTCATTATTAATTTTTTAGCAAGCAAACTATTAAATATACTAAACAAACATTTGTTTTTAAATCACAATTATTCTAAGTATATGTTCATCTCAGTATAAATATTATTAAGGGAATTGTTAATAACCATGTATTTTAAAGTCATTCATTAATCCAAACAAGTTAAACTTAGAAGACTGTTGATACAAAGCTTCAATTGATAAATGAGCTTACCTTATATAAGATACAGCATCCTTTAATAATATAAGAACGCCTGGGTAATATTAGGTCATCCTACAGAAGAGAAATGCGTTTATTTAATATTCTTTGTGCAATTAGACTTTTCTTTTAATTCAAGATAAAATTTACTATTTGTAAAATAAGAGAAAATAATCAACTTACAAAATAAGCAAAATCTGCTGACTCAAAATCACCAATCAATTCATCAAGCATCAACTGAAAGAAAAAGGTATACAACATGAAATCGCAAATATTTTTCACATTTTTAACTTTTACCAAAACCTTTTCAGCTTATGATATACAATACAGATTTTTGCCAAACAGCATTATAATATAAATACAATATATAAACAGTTGTTTTGCTTTTTAATTACTGAACTGCACTTCTTTAAGCAAACTACAAATAGATTAATTACCTAATTATAAAATCTACTATCTATATTTCTCATGTTGTCTGTCTGTGTGTCTGTCATGGGCATTGTTACCTCGCCCAGGCCGCATTTCTCACCCGATTTCGATGCAGTTTTCAACACAAGTTTGCAAATGGCTGCCGTAAGGACATGACAGAGCCCGATTTTTGAGTTCGGAATCAGGTTCCGAAAAAAAAATCGATAATTGAAAAAATTATGCTTACAGAAGGAATGATCGCATTTCAACCAAATTTGACACCCTCTTAGAGTCTACCATTAGAAGTGTTGTCCAGAAGTTTCATGACCACAGGCCCCTAAACAGTGCAGAAAATCATTAAAAACCCCAAAACCGATACGCCCAGATTGCGTCTGAACCGCATGTCGGTTTTTAGCGAAAACCAAGAATAATTTATGAAGAGGCCATTGGGAGTCATCATGTGAAGTTTCAACTCTGAGCACCCCCCCCCAAACAGAGTGCAAATCGACAATTGGTCAACCCTTAAAAATGTCTTTTCCGTTTTTTTTAAGGTGATCATATTGTGTTTATTTTGTTTAGTTCTTTTTTCGTAACAGATTTAATGTTTACTATAGAGCTTAGAAAAAGTTGGCAGTGTGATATAGGCAAGAAGTAAGGCATATAACAACATCAGCATGGTAAAGGGCACTCCTCTAGAGGCAAGGAAGGGCAAAAATATTTTAAGTCAAGTGATAGCGATTGCTGTATTAGTCATACTATTTTTGAATCAAGCACGGGCAACCCCGGGCCATGCTGCTAGTAAAATATATTATTCTTGGTAAGAGCTGTAATCAGTTCAACTCTTTAGCTCAATTTTATTATCAATGAAATTATTTGCATGTGTTTTTATATTGGTTTGGTGGAAGACCAATGAAATTTCACTAAAATTTTTTTTTATTTTTCTAATTTCCTGGTTTCCAGAAAGAATTTGAACACAAATTGTCCAGTGTCTTTTGAGTGCTTTTGGTTTTCAAAAGCCATCATTAAAAGAATTTTTTATGAGTTGATAGGACATGTCTATAAATAGATGACACCCACCAATGTGTAAAGACACAATACTTAACAACCACCAAAGTGGTGCACTGCATACATATAAAATTGAAATATCTGTCAATTCAAGTTTAAGTTTTAAGACTCCTAGCTTATCACATTTACAACAGAAATTTAAAATAGCAGGTTAATTTGATTGAAAAATATTGCTGTAATTGATTATTTGCTCTTACGACATATCAATTGATTTATCTTAGATGGCAAATTAAAAATTGATGATTGTGTGTTCAAATTACTGAAAGTAGGGTTTTTTTTTACTTTATGGACAGTTCACTACTTTTATTTCATCCAATTCAATAGAATATAAAAAATAATGTTTTATTTATGTTACATGATAAAATCAGTTTTATAATGTAGTGATTTTATAATTTGTTTTCAAGTGATGCAGAAATTGTAGCAGTATAAGTTGTTTTGAGTTTGAAATAAAAGATTTTCTTTATTATGCAAATGGTTTCCTTATTTTCTTCATGTATTTGTTGTTGTTGCTTTTTATCATACAGTTGAAGAAAACTAGCCAAATAAATAATAATAGGAATAGTTTGTCTCAGAGTCTGAATGATATCTATAAATCGTAACAAGGTAGTCCACTATAGAGAACAGAATAAATCAAAAGAGAGAATGGTAAGAGGAAAACTCTGCCTAAATATGACAGCTTTAGTAATGGTCTAAGGCACCATCCATGAAAGACAATGTCAATTTGGCTCCCATCAAAACTATTTCTTTATTCCAACTTCATACAGCTTAATGTCAAAAGCTAAAACTTGGGATAAAAAGCAACACAAATAGATGAAGAAAACTAGTCAATAATACATGTAATAATCATATGAGAGCATTGTTTTCATTATCTTTCAGAATTCACCATCATAATTGGGATTCCACCAATTTAAAGAAGCATGTCTCAATGAAATAAAATATGATAATCAATCACATACAATTAGAAAGTATTTGGTTTTTTGTAATATTTTCAAAATGATTTCTTAACTAACCTTTATTTCTTCCTCCAAGAAAAACCATCTTGCTTCAGAATGACAATTTGTAATAGAGAACATGTTTATAGAAGATTTTCCATTGAGTATAGGAAGGAGTTGATGAAAGAGAAGTGTCAAGATTTGGTTCAATTGTAAATGATTCTGTGACACACAGAATGGTCTGAAAGTTGGAAAGATATACTCAACATTTTCACAGAACAGCAGTAAGCGTTAATTTCAATTAGTGATAGAAGAATTATCTCAATACATCATGAAAATAGAGGACTTACAGCAATTTGTGCAAGACATTACAAAATTCCAAAGTTGGTTCATATAATAACAGTGGTGCAAATGCCAAGGACAAGAAGACATTAAATTTGATATTAGCCAATCACACAACTTGATAGACATTAGTAACATACACAGAATTTACCAAAACTAATAATGTCTCATTCTCTCATATAAATTTGACTTGATATATTTATCACTCAAGCACTTTGATCTCTTCTTGTTAGTAATGAGACATTTCGTTGTTATGGTAACTGAAAGTATAACTCAACAAAAATAAGTGAACATACCTCATGTTACCATAACAATAGAATAGCTCATTAGTCAGTATAGAAGATCAAATTGCTTTTTATTTTTTTTTATTTTATGCTTAGCTTTCTTTAGATATTTTTACTTAAGATTTAAAAATTCTTTCTTACATGCAACAAAAGATTTAATTTTATTGATAAAACCTTTATCAATGATAAAATTTCATGTAGAAAATATAACCAATGTAATTAGAAAATGATTTAAATGTTTTTTTGACAGCCCAAGTAGTTTATAAATATATCAGAATGAATGTATTTCAAATATTCATTCCATGCACTAAAAGAATATTTAAAGAATACACCAAAAATATCAGCAAAGTGGTAATAATACAACAATACAATATCTTGTAATACATAAAATATTGAAATAAAACAGTACCAACATATTTTTCATTATATTCTAACTGTACAGAATATTGTGTTCTAGTGTGAAGGTTGATCAGAAAAACAATCCCACAATGGAGTAACATCATAAAAAAACAGATATCAATGCATTTTATATACAAGTCTCTGGTAGTAGGCATCTGTTTATCTCACAACATAAAGGTAGCACTCTGTTTGGTCAAGATTCAATCCTTTGGTGTTGAAACTGGAGGGACCTCTCCAGAGCACAGACCTGGACAATGGTATATGGAGGCTGTGTGCTGCCCAGACAACATGGCCCCCTTTCAGCTATATTGACAAGATCCAAAGGAATACATGGCATTAAATTTGGAGACAGCGCCTGCAGGAGTTACCAGAAAGTTATCACTGTTGACAGCCAACTGCCTTCAGGGCACATCTCTATGGTTTATATCTGTATTTACTTCCATAGCCTTTTCTGTGTTTTGATATGACTGTAAGGCAGCAGAGGTTTAAAATCAGCATTTTCCTTCCCCTAGATAGACTGCCTTCCTGCACTGTCAAGCTCCATCTACTCAAAACAGCCGGTCACAAATTTTCCACCCTTGGCCATTCTCCAGCTTGGAGCTTGACTTGGTTGCCAGAGGCTATTTGAGATGCATGCAACAGAAGAACTTTATGGATAGTGGCAGCTTGTCCCTGCTATCACCCCCGGTTATGACAGCCTCTGGTAAAAATAAATAAATAAGACAATTTTATGTCAGAAGATGCAAAAGTTGTGAACTTCCCAAAATCACAGGTCTCCATTAATATTTGATTTCTCTCATGATTTCTGATTAAAGACACTTGGAATTTTTACTGAAGAGAGAAACCACTGGGTTAAAAATATGCTGATAGCATTATTCTATTTTATTATTTTGGTATTCCTCAATATTATCACTGCAGTGGTAATAACAGAAAGAAGATAAACTTAGGGAAACAATTCCTATTTGCATACTAACTTATAAATAAAATCATTCTATTAGCAATAAATAATAAAGAAAATATGTAGCTTACTTGAAAGCATTTCCAAAAAGGACAACCAATGTCTTTATTAAATTATCGAGAATTGATATCAAAACAAACTGAGGACACCTGAAAAGAATTTAAAATAAATATTTGTTATAAGGCATCAAATGTAAAAAAACAGACACTATAAAAATGCTAGTCAGTTATGTTTTCAGTTTATCTATCCTCAAACAAGATAAATAAAAACAAATTTTTTTACATTTTGAATAAATTAAAAAATTAGATTTGCCATTAGATTTTTAAGGGAAAAATTGGTAAAACAAGTTGATTAAAAAATGCATACTTAGGCAACTTGATTACAATTTAGGCATAAATTAAAAATAAAAAGTATATTTCAAGGAAAATAACCAACTCAAATTATTGGTCAATTTTCTACTTGTATACTATTAATCTACAAAGGCAAATTCAAAAAGCTTAATTCAAATTAAGCTAATGTGTGCATTTTCCTAAATAAAAGATCATCTGGGTCACATTCAAATTATGCATTATCCTTTTCTTTGTTTAATAGTTTTCACCCGTCACAATGAACAGTTGCACTCACAAATGAGGTTTCATGCTTTGAATATCTATTGGGACTCAATTTCACTCCAGGTCTCAAGTGGATCTTATATACAGAATCCAAGATGTGAAGAAAATGGTCGGTTTATTGTACCACTCCAGAGAGTGCCTGACTCCTACCATACTTTATCTTTACAAGAGTCTGATTAAACTAAAAATGGAAGATTTTTTTTCTCCACTCCATAAACTCTTTCCCACAGATACACCATTGTAAGTCACTCCCTACACTATGGCAAATATTCAGAGAGTTCCATTCTTTAGTTGCCATTTTGTGAAACAGACTCCAACTTAGGTGCTTTCCTGAACACTTTAAGTCAATTGTTATCTATCCTCCTTATGCTCATAATCTTCACTTCCTGCCACCTCCTCTTTCATTCATTCATATCACACACCTGATTCATCATTAGCATTTTAACAGTAACACTCAACTTTGAGTGGCTCTCAAACTATGTACTGTGTGAATCCCAGTATAAAAAAATAATGTATTCCTAATTTATATAAACTAAACATTATTCCTTTAAATTCAAGCTTTTTATCACATTTAATTGCCATTAATTAAAAGCTAAGTCTAAAAATGTTGTATAATTTCATTGTGCATTGAAAAGCTTAATTAAAATTTCAAATTTTCTTTATAAAAAAGGTCAGTCAAATATATATATATATATATATATATATATATATATATATATATATATGGAGAGAAAGGGGGTATACATGTTTTGTAACTGCTAACAATATTTTTTTAATTACTTTACTGGATGTGAAAATATTAGATAAATATTTATAACATTAATGTTGACCTATACTATAATTTTTTTACCTTTATATGACCTTTCATTTCAACAACAGATAAAATTCAGAAAGAATTAAATTCTTTTTAAATGCATATGATTTCCTAACAATTAGAATTCAAGGAAGAAAATATATGAAGAAAAAAATGATTTTTTTTACTTCAAATTAAAACAGTTTTTAATAATAACACATCCAAGCATGGATTTTAAGAGAAATTACTTCTGTAAGTGTATCATGATAAAATATTATCTTCTATAATTTTGAGATGAATTATTATCATTCCAAGAATTGTTCAAATTATTTATTATAATGTTTTGGACTTTTGTTATTACATTTCAACTGATTCATTCAACACTGGCTTTCTTCAAGCATACATTCCATACAGAAAGGATGTGTTTCTTTTTCCAGTGACTGCTAATAAAATATGCATTGAACTGACTGATGCTAAAAACAATTCTCTTCTGACTTTCAATCTGGCTTACATAAGAACATAGTTTTACAGATTAACCCAGCTGAAAAGATATATGAGGGGATATAAAAAGGTTCCCTGTTTGACTAATAAGGGATATACTGATTTTCAGTATCTCCTCATACAATTTATGATGTTTGATCATATGAACTCAATTAAATAATCCATACAGTTCATGAATATAAGATAGCAAATGTTTTTGTCTTCATAATCTACTCAAAAGTGGCTTTTGCACTTGTATGCAGAGAAAACCAATACACCTACACACACAGTTATACTTTAATTTTAGTTCAAACCATTTCTTCTGTGTTACAAAAAGAGATAGGCTTTATCTTCAACATAAAGCAAAAGTCATCATCATCATAATTCTGAGAATTTAAAAGGTAGACTCATGAATATAAGAAGTACTGTTATATATAATATCTAAAATAAGGAATAGTAATCTTATAAATAGTAAAGCTTCTGAATGATTACCAAAAGATTTAGAGATGTTAAAACATCAGGATTGTTTCAACAGTGCAACCGCTGTTTACAACATCCTTAATGAAGTTAGTCCCTCATGAGAGAAGTAACCGACCAAACATTGCATATACAACAGCCCATACAAATGTAAAAAAGAATATAAAGTAGAAACCAGCAAATCAGTTAAGAGCCAGACTTGAGAAAGATGAGAAATTCATATCGAAAGGTAAAATAAGAAATATCTGGTATGGAGAGAAGGAAGGATAATGCTACACTTCTGGAATAATACTGGCCATAGTAATAGGCAAGAGTTACTGGTGTTGATTTTATGAGTAAGTGAATCTATAATTGGTGGTAGTTAGAATGGGAATTAACTTTACAAGTTAATGTGAAAAGCCTAGATAGGCAATTTGGATTTTACTAGCATAATCTAGGGTCTGGTTTTTCTAATGGCTGTTGAAGCAAAAAAAATTCAATTACAATAAATTGAATTAGTATCTGGGTTTAAACTCATTTCTTAACTATTAGGATTGGGTGAAAGAAAGAGAACCCACTTTCACACCCTGCTAGAAAAATGACAATTGGGATATAACAGCTGGCCTATGCTAGGTCAGATATTAGCCCAAAATTCAGAAATTAATTTTGTTATTTTTCTATATTATCCAACCTTCAGTCTTGATTGTTAATTGGGCTCAAGAATTTGGCTGAGAAGTCATCAAATCCTTTCCATCGACCCTGTTGCTATGCCCATATGCAAATCAACTTATAACCTTGCACCTGAAACCCACAAACACAGGGACCCATCAGTAGTCTAGAGGCAATCATCAGAAGAGACAGAGAAGTCAAATCAACGTTTGTGATTGACTGATGATACGTCTGTCTCAGTCACTATAGCAGTCAACAAAATATAGCAGAATTAATGACATCTTCGCTACTCACTCCACTACTTCTTGCAAGATACTGAAAAGAAGAATTTGGTCAATGGAAGCTTAAGATTCTTCATTTGAAAACTGACAAGCAAGTGAAAGAGCTGGAGACCAATTTTGTCTGCAGGCCTGAGATCAAAATTTCCTGATTGAATTGTTAAACCTACTATCAGTCTGGGGCATTGCTTTTGTTTTTGCTGCGAATAAAGCTGACACATACTCAGTCACAAACTGACTGTAGTTTGGTTGAACACAGCTCCGCAGAATTAGAAAGGGTTAAACTGAAAACTGTAACCCACAACACAAATAATCTCTATTTAAAAATCATTTATTCATTCTGAAACTCATTTCCTTCTTTACTTTTCATGTAATATACACCACCACATTCACTCCTATGGATGTTTCAACCAGCTTCACCTCAAACTTCCTCAGATTAAAAACTGGAACAAGATATGGGTGGAATGAGATGCCCAGATGGCAACCCCAGGCCATAAGAGAAACAAGTAAAGGATTTGGCTATAAATATCAGAGGAGAAAATTGAAAGAATTTGTCTTGTAGATAACGCATAAATGAGGGTGATGTGGAATTCTTTGCATTACAAAAGATTGTAGAGTAAAATTGTTGTCTATAAAACATGGAATTACTTAAACAACACATGCTGACATGCAGTTTAGCATAACTGGTTGAACCAATCAGTATATCAAGTAAACTACAATCTTTTATTTGCATTACCCCAGCCACCAAAAAGGAAAAAAAAGAGACTTCTTCCATATGAATTGTACACCTGAAACCTGTAGAATGGGTTTGCTGAAACATTGTAATTACAGCAAAAGCAATAAAAAGAATGAGAATCTTGAAATGATAAAAATGCTTTTTTGCAATAAAATAATAAAAAGTTAAACTAAAATAGCATTTATAAGAACAGATACTGGTTACAGAAAACTGTGATATTTGCAAAATTCTAATGGAACATTTCCTAAACTGAAAAACAGGCTGCACTCCTGCTATGGGTATGATGCTGCAGTTTCCAAATGTAGCAATTAATGATAATTGTAATAGAAAGAATAGAGATCCCATTTGATAAAGTGAGCACAAAATCAAATCCTTTCTCTTTTTTCTAAAGAAAATAAAAATAAAAAAGAAATATGCTTCTTACAATTCTGAAGGCATTAAAAAAAGAAGAATGTTATTCTGCTCTTTGTGGTAAGCCACATTAATTGTGAGATTTTCATAACTGATTGTGGAACTGAAACAAAAAAGAAAAAATAATGAATATAGATTAGATGCATGAATGAAATTATAAATAATTACTTTGCAAATTTTATAAATACTAAAAGAAATTTTATTGGGTATTAAAAGTTTGGTCATAATCCTGACAACTTCTAATACTTCTTTTCTATGAGTACAGATTTTGCAAGTATAGAATGGGAACTCCAAATAGATAAACCATGAAAAATCCTGGACAAAATCAGAGAAAACTTCCTAAATTTAAATTTGATTTCTAAATAAAACATTTTATTCTAATTCAATATTTTTAAAAACTCTAAGTTACATTTAAAATGTTAAATGACAAATTTATGAATATTTTAAAATAATTAAAAAAAAAACATTTTAAAAAATGCAAACAAAACAAACAATAATAATCAAATTTTAACAACTTTATTCTTACCAACACATTCTTTATATAATTTGTATTATTTATGTTTTATCAAAATTCTTTTCACATGAAAAATAAAGGTATGATAAATGTAAAGACTACTGCTAAAATATAATTATTATAATGTTTTTTCTACAAGAATTCTCTTCACAGCTAGGCAATATGGACCTAGACAAGGTGAGCAATAATCAATCAGAATGAAAAATATCTCTAGTCTTGGACAGCAGAACAAGAACAATTTACACCAATTGAATAAATTAAAGGTTCAGTTCAAAATGCTCTGAAGGTTATGATGATTAACATACACCTGAAGAAGGCCAGAGAGCAATTATAGCCAAAATGTTCTGATAATAACAACAAAGATGTGGACATTAGTCTGAATGTAAATAAGATTTCTAGCAGTATTATTTGTAGCCTTCCACTCATATATACTTCATCCATTGACTTACAGGAAAATAATGATATTGGATTATATTTGCAATAAGATACCAATTCATATCTTATAAATTCATGAAAGTCCTCTTCAGTTGGCCCCAATAAAAAAATGTAGACAAAACATTACTAACCACTTTGTTTCACTCCACACTATATCTTCTAGCAATTGGTTTAAAGTAATGAAAATTCCTCTAACTTCTGTTAGTTTGTTGCTTTGAAATGGAAATTCATAAATAATGTCCTGGAATTAAACAAAAATGAATCATTTGTAGTTGTATAAAAATAACAAAATATTAAAATATACACAATTTGAAATTATTCAATGACAAGATGATTGTTCAAATTAAATGTTATTTTTAACAAGCTGCAAAATAATTTACAATATTAATTGATTAAAAGTTGATAAAAATATAAATTATTATTATAAATGTTTAATTGCATTTTCCACTTTACATATACTATTCCATGTAAAAATTGTGGAAAAATTGACGGTTCAGGAGGGTGGAGTAAGGTACTTACCTGGGTTGTTTTTCTGGTCAACTAAAAGCTCTTACCTTTTTTTTCCTCTTTTTTTTTACCCTTTGTTACACTATGCAATTTATCTGATGGAGAAGCTACGTCATAGAAGCAGATATTTTTTTTCACAACTTAAGGTAAGTACCTTTATTCATTTCCCCAGCCTGCACGGTCATGGATTTTTTTCTTGGGTTGAGATTTTGTGAAAAAAATTTATATTAATCTTATCTATTCAGTGAAGTTTTGAAACCTCTTGGCAGCCTTGAGTCCTTAGGGCTTGATTGTGAATTCAAGTTATTGGCACTCCTTGAAAACTATGATAAGCACTTCAAGGAAATACTCCCGAATATCAATGTTGGTTCCAGTTGTCCACTTACACTCCCAGTGTTAGTGAATAATAACATTGATTTGTCAGTGTACATTGATGAGCTGGACTCCCTTTTGGATGAATTCCAGTATAGCAACTGTCCCTTCACAGGCAGGTTTGACAGAGGCACCAATTTTATTCCAATTAATGGCATCATTGGGCTAGACTTAATTCAGCACCTAGGATCCCCTTAAGCTGGTTCCTTGTCTGCAAGGATGGGCATTTTCAATCACAATGGGTCTTGTCCCATTTGAAGAAGTGACAAGATTTCAATCACCTGGACCTTCTCAGGACAAGAACCAGGAGTGCCTTGTGTTTGATTCTATGTTGGCATCCATGGATGAAGTTAAAAATTCACACGTGTTTTGTGCTGGCGTCTAGGAGTACATATGAAAATCCTCAAAGTAATGTACAAAGAGGTTTAGAAAGAATGTTTAGCATGGAGTCACTGTGGATTAAGGAATATGAGTTGTCTAACTATGACATGCAGATGGTTGCACTCTTTAGACAATTTATCACATTCAAGGACAATAAGTATTACATTCAACTACCTTGGGAGTCCGAAAAGTTATCTTGTATTCCTTCCAACCATTCTGTAGCCATTTGCATTTTGGACCATGTGGCATAGAAACTGGAATGTGATGGGCTTTATCAGGACTACTTGGAGGTTTTCCACCAACAGAAATGTGATGGAATCATAGGAGATTTTTATTCCTCCTCACCAGTTTAAGAAACATATTTGGATTCCACACAGGCCTGTCCTGAAGGTAGATTCTTCATCTACTGCTAGAATTCAACCGGTTTTCAACTGCAGTCTCAAAACAAATAACTCCCCTTCTCTTAATGAGGCTGCCTACCAGGAAGTGAACCTTACAAGCAACCTGTTGGAAATAAAGATATCCTTTCAAGAAAACACTCACATTGTGTTGGCAGATATCAGGAAGGCCTTCTTAATGATCAACTGGAACAGGTTCTGTCTCTTCCTGAAAGACAACGGTAGGCTGCGTTGTTTCAGGTATACCACAATTATTTTTGGATTCACATCTAGCCCCTTCATACTGAGTTGCATTCTCCGGCACCATACTGCTCAATTTCCCTTGGATTCTTGTAGACGTATGATGGAGAATTTGTTCTACATGGACAAGGAACGATTGCAACTGGGAGGGTTTGAGCTGAAATCTTGTAGCTCTAACTGTGTGAGCATTTGGGACAAAATGAAGACTGATGGTACCCTGAGCAGTCATTGGATTGACTGGGAGAAAGTGCTTGGATGTCGTTATAATCCCCTCACTGACACACAGTGTATTGCTCCCATAAGTTGTGACTCTAATGCTTCCACAAAGTGGCACATACTCGCAGAAGCAGCAAGAGTCTTTGACCCTTTGTCTTTATACTTGCCTGTCACATTGCGAGGTTGTATCCTGTTGAGTGATCTATGGAAGAAGGGAAGAATGGGATGAGATTATCTGGTTCTGGATGAATTTTCATCCAGATGGAGGAGCCTTTCAGCTGATCTTTCCAGGTTGGGGACAATTACCTTCCCCCAGAAGACTTTCAGTAAAAACAAGGCCGGTAAGATGTTCCTCTTCTGTGATGCTTCACCAGATGCATATGGGTTTGCTGTGTATATATGGTGCAGAATTGCCAGTCTTACCTGGTTTTTGCTAAGGCTAAGGTGGCACCCTTAAAGAAGAAGAATCTTCCCATCTTGGAACTTTTGGCTGTGTATTTGGCTCTGAAATGCTTGCCCACTCTCTTGTGGGGTTGTGGTGGATTCACCCCCAACCAAAATACAGGTAATCACGGATTCTCAAGTCGTCCTCTTGTGAATCATTTATGGATCAATCGTGAGCAAGAACCTATTTGCATAAAACTGGCTGAAGGATGTCTTGCAGATGGTTGAGGAGTTGCCTTATCCACTCTTTCTAGTATGTACTAACTATGGAGAACCCTGCTGATTTGATCACCAGGGGTTTAATGTTGGAAAGATTTAAGACTTGCATTCAGTTCTGGTGTCATGGTCCAGATTGATTGTGCAGCAGGATTACTCCATGGGCCATACAGGAGTTACCATGTCTCAATCAACACAGACAATGGATAGCTCATTCTTCATCGAATGCTGCTGTCATCCAGAGAGAGGAAGTCTCAACAGTTCTGCCTTTGGAGAAATTTTCTTCATTTGCAAAGCTCTTGAGGGTAACTGCATTAGTCATTATGTTTATTAATAGGTTGAGGCAGTTGGAGGTTGATAGTGAGAGACTGGCAGTCATACTTCTGATGAAGACAATGCAACAGGAAGCCTATCCTGTGGAATTGGCATTCTTGGCGTTCTTCAGACAGGAATGTTCCTAGGTTATTGGGGGACCTTGATCTGTACATTGATGAGGAGGGCCTGGTTAGGTTGGTAATTCTCTTCATTTCAATGTAGGAGTTAAACAACCTATTCTGTTGGCAAAGCATCAACCAAACTCCTCATAATGGATGTCCATACCAGGTGCCAGTACTTGGGAGTTGGGTCCATGTTGACTGGGGTGAGACAAAGTGGTTACTGGGTGCCCAAGGGAAGACAGACTGTGAAGACAGTCTTGGGTACCTGAGCATGTGCAGTGCCAGGCATGTCCTGTCTCCCAATGTGGCTAGTTTACCCACTTCACATGTGGAGCTGGAGGTCCCTTTCAGACATACAGGAATTGACTACACTGGACACCTTTGGATTAGGGAAGGTGATAGGGAGGTGAAAATATATATGCTCATTTTCACTTGCCTTAGCATCAGAGATGTACACATTGAGGTGGTGCCAGACTTGAGTGTACTGTCCTTCCTTCAAGCTTTGGTGCTTCACCAACTTGTATGGTATACCAGCTGCCATCTACAGCAATAATGCTAAGACCTTCCTGGGTAGTGGTCAGCTGTTCAAGAAGTTATTGTTGCGTGATTTCCAACAGAAGTTTGGCTCTTGCCAAATTAAATTCTGCCCTATCCCGCTATTCTCTCCCTGGGTTGGAGGTGTCTGGGAAAGAAGTATACAAACAATCAAAACCTGCCTCCACAAGGTTGTAGGATTGTGGGGGGAATAGATTATTTTCCATTACTAAATCTTATCTCTGACATCCAGAGGGCTGTCAATAATCACCCCCTAACCTATCGAGAATCAGCAGAGAAAGAGCTAGAAGCAGTAACACCGAGATGGTGTTGTCAGGACAGCCAGGGTTAAACAGGGTGGGACAGTGTGGGTACACTCTTTGAAGTAACTGTTTCCGCTAGAGTTGTCCCTGTTAGCAGATAAAGATGAAGTGATGCCCTTGACCTCCTCTGCTGGTGCAGCTGCAGTCCCTCATCCATCGCCTTTTGATGAAGGGGTTTGGCTCTGTCCAATATGTAATGCTCCACAGGGCGATCAAGATATGATTTGCTGTGATGGGTGTGACAGCTGGTGCCACTTCAGGTGTGTGGGGATCGAAGCCCCCACGCCAACTGCAAGAAAAAATGGTACTGTCCCAATTGTGCACCCTTGAAGCGCCATAAAGGCAGACCCAGGTTTCTCCCCAAATAAAGAGGGCACATTATAAAAAAAAAAAAAAAAAAAATATATAACCAAAACAATTCTTAGTGACATTGTCTTTTTTCTTTTTTTTCTTTTGGTTCTCTGGAAGATGTAGAAAAACTGATGGTTCAGGTGGGAGGAGTAAGGTACTTACCTGGGTTGTTGTTCTGGTTCACTAAAAGCTGTTACCTTTTTTTTTCCAATTTTTTACAGTTACAAGGTCTCATGACTTATCATGTGATCACTACAGTGGTTATAAAGGAATTTTTTTTTTTTCACCCCTTTTTGTCAGATAACTTGTGCAGTATAACAATACTACACAAGTTATCTGACAGAGAAACAATGTCATGGAAGTAGATATTTTTTCCGCAACTTAAGGTAAGTACCTTTGCTCATTTCCCCGGCCTGCACAGTACAATTTTTTTTCTTGGGTTGAGATTTTTGACAAAATAATTGATAATAATTTCAGTTTGAGATAAAAAATACAGGCAGTTGTAAAATGAAAATAATCTAGATAATTATATACACATAAACAGAAGAATAATATTAAAAAGCAGACAATTTTAATTACCTTTTTATATTTTATCAATATAAGTGATAATGAAAATGAAAACTAATTAGAACACAACTTTAATTAGTTACCTACAGTGTATTATGGAGTTTAAATACTTTGTTAATTATTTACCAAAAATATATATTTTAGTCATATTCCTGTAAATAGTAATAGTGTACTTTTTCATTACCACTTATATTGATAAAATATTAAAAGGTAATGTATATGTAAAACAGAAAATGCAACTAAAAATGTATGTACATATAAATGTTGTCACAAATATTAAGTAGTCTTGGCAATTTCTTCAGTTAATTTATCTCTTTACACCTAAATCCTGACTCTGAAATGTAAACACTGAACATTTGTAGATATCAACTAATTTCTATAACAATATATCTTTGAATACAGATTGGTTTCATTTGATTGATAGAAAAGAAAAAGAAAAGGATAAAAAATCACCTGTCCAAAATCCAAGTCACACTGTATGGTTTCCAAAGAGAGACAAAGTAATTTGCATTTATGAGCATCCAAAGAAGACATCAAAGAATCCAGATCTTCTCCTGATGATGACAACATGAGATTCTCACAAAATGGAGATTTAATACCACTTTTGGTTTCAGAATTGGGGGAGCCAACAACAACTGGTGTTTGGAATGTTAGTTTAAGCTAGAATTAATAAAACATATACCTGAGTAACATATCATGAAATTGGATATTACAGAAAAATAATCATTCAAACTACAAGCTTGCTTCAAAGTTATTTAAAATATGCCAAACAAAAGTATGTTGAATTATAGTAAGTAACAGAATTATAATACACAACATAATTCTAAATCTAAACAGTCAACAAACTTTAAGATAAGTTAATGACAAAACAAAAGTTCCACTAAAAATCTGTTTTCTTTTTTAAATGGAAGAAATAAGAAGTCAGTAAATGAATGTCTCATCATTTAAAAATGAATTTAAGTTTCACTTAATGAATGAACAGAATACTGTAAAACGTAAATGCATAGAAATGTATGTTTGTAAATAACTTCAAATATTAATAAATGAATTAATAAAGAATGACACTCCTTCTTAATGTGCTATGTTAATATTTCTAGAAATAAAAAAAGAATCTTGAACACATTTTACTCTTCACTAATTATTTTCTTATAAAGAAAGGTTATCAGAAATAACACACTAAAGGGAAGTAATTCTCACCATTTTACATCTGAGGAATAACTTACAACAAACCAAATTATTTTATAACAGAATGATGACAATAATTAGTTAGAGTCAATGTTAGAAGCACAAAATAAAATAAAAATAACTGATAAGTAACTTTTTTCAACAACAAAAAATGATACACTCAATCCGAGAGAGGAAATAATTAATTTCTAAGATTACAAAACAATTATAAATATTTTACCTATAACGATAAAATAATAAAAATATAGCATTTACTATCCTTAATTCATTGGCAAATTAATCTAAAACAAATTTTACATCTGGTGTATCTAATTAAGTTACCAAATTTGGTAACTAATATTTTAAACTTTTCAAAGATACCAATAATAGAAATAAAAATTAATGATTATGGGTTGCATATACATAGTGATTAAAAGTAAAACTAAATTTAATTTCAACAGAATTATGCATAAAAATGCACTAACCGGTACTTGCTTTTTAGCATAAAGAAGAACAGTTCTGAGTGTATTCCATGAAACTTTTTTGTCATCAATGGAAATCAATATATCACCTGTAAATAGGAAAACATTTACTTTTAAATAAACAACATTTTTTTATGTGTCATGTATAGAAGAATTAGACGACATAATTTGAAAAAGAAACAATGATACTAAAAAGTATTTAATCATTTAAAAAGAAGGATGCACAATATTTTAGCAATTTATTTGTTGAATTCTATCAGTGGATAGGCACATGGATAGATTATAGAAGAGCCTGAAAAAGTAATACTTCTTCAATAGTTTGAAATAGCAGTACATTAGCCCATAGTACTGGATTTGTATTTTTCTTTCTATAATTAATACCCAATTTTACAGTGGGGTAACTCCTGCAAAATTAAGCACTAGATAAATTTGAAATTATTTAGTGAGCTGTGTTTATCCATTTTGGGCTAAATATTTTAGACTCTTAGTTAGGACATATTCTTACATAGCCTCTGACAACTCAAATAGAAGGGGGAGAAGGCAGACCTCTGACACCTCAAAACCAGATGCTTCAAGTAGATGGAAGGAAAACCCTGATTTTAAACCTCTGCTACCTTGCAGTCATATCCAATCATGGAAAGGCCTATAGAAGTAAATCCAGACAGAAAATTTGGAGTGGAGCTCTGAAGACTGTTGGCTGTCAACACTGACAACCTTTTGGCAACTCCAGCAGCCAAACCAGGTCACAAATGTAATGCCCAGTATTCCTTTGGATCTTGTCAGTACAGCTGAGAGGTTGGGAGGAGCATGTGGTCTGGGCAGTGCACAACCCTATATGCCATTGCCCAGGCCTACACCATGGAGAAGTCACTCCAGTCTCACCACCTGGTGAAGGAAGACAGGATTTTATGGGTTATAAATCAATACTCAACTAGATGCCACAGGTTGTCTTTGATGATGGTAGTGATCACTGTATTTCATTAGTCAACTACTTCCACTTCAAGCCAGGCAGTCCCTGGATAGTAGGATGTTGACCCACTATGGTCTGTCTGCTTCAGTGGGTGTCTGAAGCTTATAGCTGCTAGCTTAACAAGCAGATCAATAACCACACACCAAACAAACAGCAAAATAGAAAAAGAACAAAGGATCCAGCTTTTCATCTCACAAGCTGGAATGTGGGAATCATGCACACAGGTCTATCTGATGACCTTGAGGAAATTGATTTCTCTTGTGAGACTGCAGTGATTGATCATGAGCTAAACAAACTGAACATTGATGTAGCAGCTCTACAAGAGATACAATTTTCAGACAGTGGATCTCTAAAGGAAAAACACTACACCCTCTTCTGGCAGGGAAGAGGAGTCGATGAATACAGGGAACATGGATTTTTTTTCAGAATCAGCCTGCACCATATGATTGTACCTCTAGCAAGTGACAGAGAGAATTCTTACTCTTCACCTCTCTACATATGAAAGCCTTGTAAACCTTGTATGCATCTATGCACCTGCATTCCAAGCCACGCCTGAAGTCAAAGACAAGTTCTATGCTTAATTTGACAGCATGGTCAAGCATATCCTATCATATAAACATATTTATCTTCTACGAGACTTCAATGTAAGGGTGGGCTCTGATCAAGTGTCCTGGCTAAACATGTTAGGTCACCATGGCATGGGAAAAATGAATTAAAATGGCCAAAGACATAAACTATGTGTGATCTCATCAAAGATAAAGTTAAAACTTAAAAGTCTATTATTCAAAGAAGAAATGTCAGCAAAACTGCCTAATTAGATAAAAACCAGAAGTTCTTAGAGAGGCTTGTGAAAACACTTCCCAGTGACACATCACAGTGCATGGAAGACAAATGGAACTCCCTTCAGAACACCATTTACAATGCCGTAATCTCAACCTATAGAAAGAAGATACACAAGAACAAAGACTGGTTTGAGGTTAATGTCTCCACATTAGTGCCAGTCATCAATGCTAACCACAGTGCACTGATTAGATTCAAGCATGACCGTAATCAGCAAAATCTACAGGCTCTAAAAGCTGCTCATATGACTACTGGCTCCATCTCTCAAATAGCATCCAACAGGCTTCGGTCAACAGCAACATCCTGAACATTTACGAGGGAATTAAGCAAGCACCTGGCAAATCAACAAAGAAGTTCGCTACCCTGAAATCAAAGATAGGGAAATTAATAACAGAAAAAGACAAACAAATTGGACAGTGGGTAAAGTGCTACCTAGATCTTTACTCAAGAGAAAATTCCATCACTAAAGAAGTGTTTGATGCTATTGAGGGTCTGCCAGTCCTGGAAGAGAGGGACTCTGAGCCTACAAAGAACTTAGCAAAGCTATTGATACTCTTATGGTAAAGCACCAGTTGAAGACAGCATATCACCAGCTTTACTCAAACCACTACATAGTCTCCTGAGCCTCTGTTGGAAGAAAGGCAGATTCCACAAGACATGCACAATGCCAAGATAATTACCCTTATTAAAAACAAGGACAATCACAGTGACTGCAATAACTACTGAGGTATTGCCCTGTTGAGCATTGTTAGAAAACTCTTTGCCTGAATGGTTTTAATGCGACCAAGTCCTTGCTGACTATATCTATCCAGAATCCCAATGTGGATTCAGGGCTAAAACTCCACAAGTGACACGATCTCTCTACATCAGCTCCAGGTGAAATATTGTGAACAATAGATACCACTATACATTGCCTTCATTGATCTCTCAAAGATGTTAGCAGGAAAGGTCTGTTTCAGTTACTAATGAAACTTGGCTGTCTTTCACAGTTGTTGAGCAACCCCCCCCACACACACACACACTTTCATCAGAACATGCAGGGTGTAGTCAGCTAAGATGGTGAAATTTCAATGCCCTTCACTATTCAGAGTGGCATAAAACAAGGTTGCATTTTAACATCAACTTCTTTTGACATCTTTTTCCATGTTATTGAGCTTTGTTTTCAGAGAAACTGAAGGTGTATACTTTAGAGTTGGTCAGTTTGGCAATTTATGTTTCAGTATTGGTTTCCAGTTTTTTCCCTTGATACTGCGGTTTTCAATTCAGTTTTTCGGTTTTGAATTTAGTATTTTTGCTTTCTAAGGAAGCCATTCATTTTCTTGTGTAATGATAGCATTTCCAGTTAATATCTGATTTTATTTGAGATTGATAAATTTGCACTTTAGTCTGTTCGACTCGCAAATTCTTGTGTATTTCTAGTCCAATGTTAAAAATATTCATATGGCTAGAAAGAAAATAAAATAATCTTTCTAAATATGTAATTTGTATGCGCTTTTATTCATTGTAGTATTTTTTTACAGGGACTTAAAATGGTATTATGCTTTGAACAGCCAAAAATGCAAAATATGACTTTTTTTCCGAGACTAAATTTTTGTTTCACAAAATCAAAGTGACCAATATTTATCAATATTCTTCAAATTGTACACTCAATTAGAAGAAACAATGAAGATGTTCATTTCTTCTCTGACCCATGGAAATGAATTCATTCAAAAATTATAAGGCAAGCAGCAAAAAAAAAAAAAAATGATTAACTAATAGTATGTGTGGTAAGAGAACTTTCAAATTATTGAAACTACTGTCTTGTTGCATAAAATAAATGCCCCATATACTTTTCGACTAATAATAAAAACTTATAGACATGCGTTAAAGACCACTGGAATTGAAAACCCGAAATAAAGTAGGGATTGTTCACCTAAAGTCAGTTTTTAGGCTTTTAGTCATAGAATTCATCACTTAGATTAAAGTTTATTAAACTTTCGAATAACTTGTCAACTATAAAATAACTGCCATATTTATTAACAAACTGGTAAAATACAAAAGAAATCGTCACATAAAATATCTATATCTGTGTCTTTGAACAACACATTTTTGAGAGAGAAAATGGTATAGCGCTCAAGAAATTAGATTATGATGTGGATTTTAAAAAACCAAAAAATTAAATCCGTCAGGTTTAATTAAGAATACGGCAATTCTTTTTTGGTACACCAATCAACTGTTATTGGGGTTTTGCAAATAAATTTCTTCTAAACAAAAAAAAAAAAAAAAAAAAAAAAAATCAATGAGTTATTTTTTTTCCCTAAATAAATTTGTTTTTTTTATCTAGTGAATACACCTAAAATTAAATATTAAAAATATAAACACTTTTAATTTTCATTTATAGAATGTGTAGATTTCCAACTCTGCAGTTATCACCTGTTCTTTTTTAGATACACATTTTAAAATTAAAAACTATTTTAATCATTTTAATATATAACCTTTGGTGAATGTATTTTGTGTATCAAAAGGTTTAGATTATCAGAACGCTTAGAAATGTAGGTGTTCACAAGACATTCATCCACAAAAAATATAAAAATAAGAACATTGAAGGTAAAATCATTCAGGAGGAATCAAAAATGAGGACAACGTGATTAAAGGTTTAACAAATAGCATTCATTTTTATATCAATTGAACATACACAATCAAGATAGATATTGCTGATCAAGTACGACCAGTGTAATAAAATATGTAGAAGGATTATTCTGAGTTTCAATGTGTGTAAGCTTGTGGTTAGGATTTGTGTATGAAATTAAACAAGATGTTTTATCGTATTACAAAATGTCTTTTGTGGGAGTTCAGTCACTAGTGTATATGTGTGCATTTGTTAAAAGTTACTGTTCAAAGTTTGTAAGAGTTGTGTACCTTTAGCTGTTGTCTTGATGTTGGATTGAAATTTACAAATACTGTTTAGTAGTGGGTCAATTCACTTTCTTTAGTATGTTGTAAGTAATGTTCCTGAGAGAGGAGAGTGCTGTTTGTCGAGTCAGAAGAATTAGCGTGCGAAAAGTGTAGTTAGGTCAAAGTTTTGGCTAGCATGGATTTGTTTAGCATCTCTCCAGGGTTGAAGTTCTGACAATATTTATTGTATATAAAAATACAATTCTGGCACAAAGCCGAAAAAGGGGAGGGGTTGAGGCTGGTCTTCACTAACTATCCTATACCTAGCTAATCCGATTCACAACCCAATCACTCATTACAATTTGCACATTCACCACAAGAACTCATCCGTCACCAACTAATCCTCCATACACCATAGTACCTCATCCTCTCGGTTGCAGACGTACAAAACACTCCCCATACCATAAAAATATAATCATTATATATGTACACTTAAAAATTTATGGATGAATAAAATGAAAGGGGAGGGAGATGAACCCAATAAGAAACTAAAACAATACACAAAAGCAACTAAACATAACTGATGTTAGTAGGGCCCGTCCAACCCTCAAAATGAGAAGCAGCTGTATTCTGCCCATTCGGACTTGCTACAGTTTTAAGGTCTCAGCCAATAAAAACCTAGTTTGCTGAAACTAAGATGCTGATTGGTTAAGAGGTGATTATGCGTGAAAAATGCATTATCCTGGAGGGGTAAAAGGTATGTATGGAATATTCCATCAAGTGTATTCTCTAGATAAAACCATAAAGATATTTGTAAAAAATAAAATGAATTAATTTTCCTTGTTTAGAAGAATTTTATAGGCAGAACAGTAACAAAAACCCACCGAACACTTGTGGCTAAAAAAGAATAATTTTTACTTTGGGTTTAAAAAAAATGACTTGCAGTTTTGAAAATATCAGGTCATCCCATGATTTCTGTCCGAATTTTAACTTTTTGTTAAAATGAACAAAATTTAAAGAGTATATGTCTAATGGAACTGAACATTATTTTTATGTTTAGATGCATTTAAACTGATCAAATTTTATTTCAGAGAACAATAAAATTAAATTTTGTTTGATTAAAACCCTGCTAACATGGAAGTACCCAAGAATCATTTGAGGCCCATAATGCTTTATGAGTTCAAGAAAGGAAACTCAGCAGCCAAAGCGGCTAGAAACATTCACTCAGTTTATGGAGAGGAATGTATGAATGAAAGAACTTGCAGAAGATGGTTTGCAAAATTCAGAGGTGGAGATTTCACCCTTGAAGATGAAGATCGAACCGGACGTCCAGTTGAATTTGATGAAAAGCTTCTTGAAGCAGCCCTTGAAGAAAATCCTGCTTTATCAGTTAAGGAATTGGCAGTGGTTCTCAGTTCAAACTATACAACTGTTCATCATCTTTAACAACTTGGAAAAGTTCCTAAACTTGGAAAATGGGTGCCTCATGAATTGTCTGAAAACAACCTCAAATCCCAAGTTGACATCTGCTCTTCTCTCCATTCTCGCCAACTTGTTTCACCTTTTTTGGATAGACTTGTGACTGGCGACGAAGAATGGATCTTTATCGAAATGTTAGCGTCAGAGACAGTGGCTTGGTAAAGGGAAGGACCCCAGCCACAGCCGAGAAGGGAACTTCATGGGCAAAAGGTTCTTCTTTCAATCTGGTGGGATCGCCAAGGAATAATCCACTTTGAATTCTTACCACCTAATGCAATAATTAATGCTCAAATATACTGTCAGCAATTAGAGTGTTTGAACCAAGCTTTGAGGAAAAAAAGATCTGCTCTAGTGAATTGAAAAGAGGTGATGTTTCATCAGGACAATGCGCGATCCCACACAGCAAGAATCATGTCACAAAAGATCAAAGAACTTGGTTGGGAGAAAATTCCTCATCCACCTTATTCTCCCGATCTTGCTCCTTCAGACTACTATTTGTTTCGTAGCTTACAGAATCATTTGGAAGAAACAGCTTTTGTAACACAGGAAGAGGTTAAAACTGACATTTGTGAGTTCTTCAAATCAAAGCCAAAAGAATTTTACAGTAATGGAATTAGTAAGCTTGTTAATCGATGGAAGGAAGTCATATATAATCAGGGAAAATACATTGTTGATTGAATCTGTAATTAAATGTAACATTTGGTCACTTGTTTTCTTTATTCAAAATTCGGACAGAACTTATATACATTTAAAAACTGAGATTAAAACTTACTTTATTTTTTTAATATCTAATCTAGATAGAAACAATTTTATTTGTATAAAAAAAATTTTACACTAGAGAGACTCGCATATCTGGAAATATACACATCTTAAAAGTGAAATTAAGAACTATTTTAATTATTCTCTTACTATCTAATTTAGGTGCATTCCCTAGATAAAAAAAAAGTTTATTTATAAAAAAAAATCTTCATTCATTTTTTTTTTTTTATTTACACTACAGCAACTTTATTTCGTAGTTGGCATACTTGGCTTACTAGAAAACCCTTACAAAAAAATCCAACTTCATAAAATATAACATTAAGACGAAACTGACAACTATTTTTTTAATTTTATTCGCTATTTTGTTGTTAACTTAATTTTACCACAAAAAGTTGTTTTGTTTTTTTTTTGAAAACTGAAACAAATAGATTTCAGACGTATTTTCCTTCTGTTTGAAAACATGATTTCCAAATGTCATATCTGTCATATTTCTTTTTTTCTTCTTCATTTCTTTTGTAAACAAATAGATTTCACATTTATTTCCTAAAACTAGTCAATTAAATGTTTTTAACATTTTTGCTCAATCTTTTTCTCTTACAATGGTATAAATGTTGATAAAATTTAATTTTATTAACATCTGAAAGTCTTTTTCAATAGTGTTTCTTTGGATATGGTCACTTCTAAAAAAAAAAAAAAGGATTTCAGTTTCATAAAAAATTTTGATGCAGTTTCAGTGTGAAGATGAAAGCAAAAAAAGTTGGTTTTTCTGTTAAACTGCACATCTCTAGTATACTTACACACAAGAAACAACAGCAAATTCTTCAATGTGGCCCAACTGAGGGCAAAGACCAAGGTGTATACAGAGAGAAATGCTGTTTGCTGATGATGCAGTTCTGACCACACATACTAAACACAATCTCCAAAAGGTGATTAATCAGTTCAGTCATGCCTGTAAGGAATTTGGGCTGGTCATTAGCATAAAAAAACAAACATCATGTTTCTGCATCTACATCAATCAGCAACACCTATATGGGTTCTACTATTGCTAACAACCTATTGCTTGACATGTAAATTGACAAACACATCACCAAAGCAGCAACAGTGATGTCCAAATTGAGCAAGAGAGTATGGAACAACAGTCAGCTGACCTTGTGCACCAAACTAAAGGCATTCCAGGCATGTGTCCTTAGTGCTAAGCTTTACGACAGCAAAACCTGGACAACATACATCAGACAGGAAAAACACCTGGAAAGCTTCCATCTCTGCAGCCTACAACATATCCTCGGCATCACAAAGAGTGACAAAGTTGCCATCATTGATAAATGGATGTTTTTTTTTCATTTTTATAGTAAAGTTCACCCTTTACCAGGCATGGGTGCCACTCGAGGTAGAGGGTTATGTTAGGAGGCAATTTGTGTGGATAGGAGTGGAAGATAACAGTTGACTCTAGCTTTGAACAGGTTAAGATTGTAGCGATCAGGAAAACACCCAATAGGGAGTTGGTTTCAAGGAGCAGTAGTTGACAGGAAGAAGCTGTTAGAGTAGAACTTACTTCTCACCAATGGGATAAGGCGGGGAATGTGGGGGTCTTGCTACTATGTAAGTGACATGGCATGTCCATGAAGATTTGAATTAGTGGGACCAGGAAATGTAGTTCGTCCAGGTACCTTCCATTGAAGTAGCTATAGGGTTGCCACATCCCGCCTGTGGAAGAGAAGTCAGAGGATGGAGAATAATTCATCACCCACAAGGACACTTTTCAACTATCAAGGCTGGAGAGTGAGGTCTGGGCAGCTCCTGCCCAGATATGACAAGCATGTTCCATTCTTGGCCTGATCTGGCTCTTGTAAAGGTAGAGGATAGCAGGAGTCAGGTACTTACTGCAGCCGTACAGGTAGCCAACCATTTTACCTGCATCCTTAGCAATGGATCGTATGTACAAGTTCGACTTGAGATTGGGTGCGAGTTTGAGGCCCAATAGTCTTTCAAGGCATGGTGCCTCCCCAAGGGGACATTCATTCATCCTGATTACTGGTTGTTTGGGGTCCAATCGGTGATGATGGATTGTAACTAGCTTGGACTTCGTCATGCCTACTATTTTAGACTCTTAAGTCATATTCTTATATAAAGATTTAAGACAAATACACATTTTTAAAAGCAAGTGTAATCCATGATGAATTGGTAGAGATAATCTGAATTCAGCATCTAAGAAATTTCTTCTGATTGTTACTTAAATCTGTAACAGAATCACCATTTTTTTTTATATATAATTTAAACATTGTTTCATTTCTCTATGGAAAACTCATTGTTATCTTTAACTACCCCTATGACCATTAATGCTTTTGGCAAATTATTTAAATGAAAAAGTAATTAAAAAAAAAAAAAAAATGAATTGAAGACAATAATAACTCCAAAATATCAGTTGAATAATTATATTTCTGTAAATAAAAATGACAATACTGACCTTTATGAATATTCTGTGTCCTTTGGGCTTGACTTCCAATCACAACTTTTTGAACAATAAGTTTCCGATCATTTAATGCTTGAGGCTTATTCTTTACAGAATTTGTTTTGGGTAACTTGAGATTATAACTGCAAAGAACAATTCCAAAAAGTTTTTCAAATAATTCCACATCAGAAATGTCATCCTTCTCATCACACAGTTTTGGCAACAGAAAGATGTCTTTTCTGTTAGAATTACTATTTTGGGATTTTATGGAGTCAAGACTCAGAGAACAGTTGGATGATTCATTACTTTGAGAATCCACAGATATAAAATCAACATTCGGTTTTGATCCCAAATTTTTTATGGTTCGATTTTCACTGCCATGACAAATTCCAGTCTGAGATGGGTTCTTTTTGTGAAGAAAAATTTTGTGAGAGGGCTCAACAAAGAAAACATCTCCTTGTTCGCCAATATGATAGGACCAAGCTGGCTTAGAATAACTGAAAATTGAAAAATAAATCATATATAAATTTAAATATTGTTTAGCTAATATTAAAAAGTCGGAATGCAAAAATAAATTTTCTTACTTTTTCTCAGTATTTTTTTTTTAAACTACTTAAAATAAATATTTAAAAAATACATAATTTAATTAGAAAGTAGACATGAAAGTCATTAAGAGATTAATGAAAAAGCAGTTTCTAAATAGAATGTATTTTGAAATCCTGACATTAGACATATTTACCTGCTTATGTAAAGAAAATTCTCAATAGATGTTTTGAAAAATAATGGTCACAAGTGTCAACAAACTTTTAATTCATGTTCATCAACATATTTTATATAATATGGAAAAGACTTGCATTGCTAAATGATTTTTAAAAATTATTTTCAAAAGATAGATAGCTCTAAAACTAAAATGATTTATATTTATCAAAAAAGCCAGAGTTTTTAGATAAGGACTAAGTAAACGTCTGATAAACCACTTGTGGACTTTAACAGGTTAACCATAATTTCCAAGCCCCAAACAAAGATGTTTTCAATTTTTATTAGAAGTTTAGTTTTCTTGTAAATAACCTGATATCTCTTAAGCTTCAGATATGGCAAAACACACACACATGTATGTATGAACTGGGATCAAATAAGGATTAGAATCTAACAGAATGATAGGAAAAGGAACAAATAGCAAACATTTATAAATTTAACATTTTGCTTTTATTTAAGCTTCATCAGAAAATGAAATATGGAGGAGAAAAAAGTTTTAGTATTTTTATTTTGTATTTATTTTTAACGAATGAAAAACAAACAAAAAATAAAAGTACCAGAATTTTCTTTTCTCCTCCATATTCAATTTTCTGATGAAGCTTTAATAAAAGCAAAACATGTTAAATTTATAAACATTTCCTATATTTTCCTTATCCTATATGTATTTAGATATGGCCACTCATATCCAACTATGTCTGTCTGCCTGCTTAGACATATTTGTGTTTCTTCAATAACCACAAGGGCCAATCTGTGGTTTATACTGCAACTCTATGCTGAGAAGGGCTTAATTACAGTTTCTGGGAGGTGGGATAGTATACATAATCTGGAATGATATATAACATATATATCGGTACTAGATTGGCAGCTAGGTCTCAGCATTTTACAGGTGAAATTGCTAGATGTAACCATAATTTCTATACTAACAGTTTCTTTGCTCACACTTCCTGCATATGGAACACTCTTTCAGCTTCTTGCTTTTCCAATTAACTTTGATCTTCAAAAAGTTAAATGCAAATTTTAATCATCCTCCTGTCTCTTTGAATCCTATTCTTTTATTATCCTCTCTCCTTAATGATTTTTCTCATATTCTTTCAAAATGTATATATATGTATATATACACACACATTTCTCAGAATCCCAAGAGTTTTGTAGACAGAGCCTTTAGCCATTGTTAGTAAATATCACCAATATTTATGGATAGACACAAATGAGAACAAGACAATAATTGTTATTCATTCATACATGTATATTTGTAGAATAAAAACTAAAATCATGTACACTTTATCTTCTACTGCATTCATCATATGCTTAAGAAAATATAAAAAAAAAATTCTTAATCCAATTCATAAAAGTTTAGTCAAATGGTTTACTGAATCTTCTCAAAAGGATTCTAAGTGAGTCTACCATAAAAGATTTTCTTGTATTTGCTGAAAATATTTATATTTCTAATAATCTTAGAAATACTATATTTATTATCAAAAACATTTTAAGAAGGAATATATATGGAACTGATGTAATGGAATAACCTGTCACCCCCATGAGTGACTACACTATAGGTAGTAACTACCTATAAGTACCTGTAAGTCAACAGACTACAGAGACCAGCTGGAATCTTTTCAGCTGTGATGGTCGAACTCTCTGCCTTCGGGCAGAAAAGAATCCCGACAAGGCTATGCTAAATAGCAGTCTCATTCAGGGAGGTAGACTGACCCTGAACCCGTTTATACGGGTTCAAAAGGAAGATTTTTGGCCAAGCCTACAGGCTCGAAGAACCCACAATAAACTCGGCCTTGTGCCACATACAACCCTCAAGTGGGGGCTGTTAAATATACAAGATGAAATCTTTTCAGCTGTGATGGTCAAACTCTCTGCCAGAGAGGAACCTGGACGAGGCTATGCCGAAGGGCAGAGTCTTGTTCAGGGAAGTAGACCAACCCTGAACCTGTTTATACGGGTTCGAAGGGAATATTTTTGGCTGAGCCTATGGGCTCGGAGAACCCACAATAAACTCAGCTTTGTGTCACATACAACACTTGTGGAGGCTGTTAAATATACCAGCTAGAATCTTTTCCAGCTGTGCTACCAAACTCTCTACTTTTAGGCAGAGAGATGAGGCTATGCCGAATGGCAGAGTCTCGTCCGGGGAGGCAGACAGACCCAATCCCATTTATGCGTGGTCTATGGGGACCCCACATTAAATTCGGTCTTGTGCCACATGTGACTGCGTGGGGCAGTTGCTAGATACCGTCTAGCTGGGATCTGTTGAGTACGACTCAAACTTACGCGAGAACTACCAACCTTCCAATAGTAGCACTCACTACTGGATTGACCTTGTTCATAACTGTTAACTTTATACTTATTGTACTGTTTTTTTACAATAAACCTTTACTTATTTTATCCACCTTGTTTTTCAAGTATATATTTCTATTACACAGAATATAACAGAAACATTATATTTTAAAATAACTGCTTATTACCTCTTTCTTTACAATATTTATTATGGGGAATTTTAAGAGGAAGTGAAACTATGTTACCAAACCTTCAAAACTGCTTAGATTCCTATTGAAAAGTACAGTGACTTTTATCACATTTAGAATCATTTGAATTCCTATTTCTATAGAAATTTGGAAATAATGTTAAATGCCCAAACAATTATTGTAATTAAGAAATGTTGCTTGTATATTTTATATTTTTGAATCTCAACTTGAAATCTTTTTATACTTCTTTAGTTTTTTTACCTATTTACAGTGAATGTTTTTTTTTTTACTGTTTGACTATGAAACTTTTAATCCTCAGTGCATAAATTTCAGAAAAAATTGAACTGATTTATATCCTTTAAAAAGATTGGTAAATTTTGGTTTTGTTTCCCGAGCACTAATATCCCTTAAAATTTTTCCAAAATCATCATAATTCCGTGTAAATGTACATGCTGAACTCGAATTAACAATTAAATTATGAAGAAACCTTCATAACTTTGGAGTTATCAACAAGAAAAAAATCAGACTTCTTGTTGGTCATTCGTCCCCCATTACTGCCATCATGATTACTAATTCACTGCTTAGTATCTATGCAGGCGTAATCAGAAAAATTGGCCTATTTACTTCTTTTACAGACTTTCCTTGCAGAAAATCACTACGCACTACTGTAAAGAAATGTAATTTTTTTTTTTTTCAAAACAGTAAAAGGTTCTGTTGTATTATTTAATTTGTTTTTGTTATAAATAAAACTACAATTACCAAAAAAAAAAAAATTACATTTCTTTACGGTAGTGCGTATTAATTTTCTGCAAGGAAAGTCTGTAAAAGAAGTAAATAGGCCAAACTTTCTGATTACGCCTGCGTAGGTACTACGCAGTGAATTAGTAATCATGATGGCAGTAATGGGGGACGAATGACCAACAAAGTCCGATTTTTTATCGATAACTCCAAAACGGTAAGGTTTCTTCATAATTTAAATTGTTAATTCGAGTTCAGCGTGTACATTTGCACGGAATTATGACGATTTTGGAAAAATTTTAAAGGATATTAGCGCTCGGGAAACAAAACCAAAATTTACCAAAAGATTTATCTTTTTACAATAAGAAATGTATTTCAAAAAATATTGAGGGTTAATTTAATTATATAAAAAAATTATTTCCAATATTTTTCTAAAGTGACCTTTTCATAAATAGCTTTATTTATTCAATGTGTAAATACCGAAAGTTACATTAAAACAAATTTTAAAAATGAATACAAAAATAAATTTTTGTATCGGATTTAAAATAAATTTTGTATCGTATTTTTTTTTTTTTTTTAAGGGTTTTTTCGTTGGGGTACCTGAACCTGAAGAAAAACACTTAGTTTACATTTTACAAAGTCAAAGAGTAATTTTACACAGGATGATAAAATATTGAAATTGAAAATATTGAAAAATCTGTATGGATTTCAAATTAGTTTTTTTTTTATGGGAATTCAGTTGGAAGTTGCATGTTCCAGTGTCGGGAGAATAAAAAATATGTAATAAATTAAAAACAGACTGTTTATCACTGCCATTCAGGAACTTGCTAAACCAAAGTGAAAATGATCTCAAAAAGTTCAACCTTGTGGTAGGAAAATTAAAAATCTTATTAATTTTAATTTAAAATCATAATTTGGATAGAATTTTTTTTTTTCTTCAAAGGGATATTTCGATCGATATATGAAAGATATCTTCTTTCAATATAATCGGAACATAAATAAACACGAGATATATCAGAAATATTCTTATCTCGAACACTAACACACTTACTTACTTCTTCTGTACAATGTACATGCTGTAGGTAGAAATTTAGTTAACTAAAAAACAATGACATAGAAATTTAATATTCCTTTCGTGCCTGTCTAGGCACACGTACATCTTTTTATTTTTATTTTTTATATTTTTTTTTTTTTAATAATGTTCCTTTGTATTTTTGGATCTTTTCTGCTTAACTTTAAAAAATTAACTATTTTTCTAGTTTGAATCTTACTTCACTTACAAAACAAAAAATATTTTGAATGTGTTTGTTGCAAAAATATTATTAAAAATAACAATTTTGATTTCGTTGTTGTTTTTTTTTTAAATGAATGAAAAATTGTTACACAGAAATAAAATCCGTCGGGAGTTAATTAAAGTAAACGGATGGTCATCGGTGACAAATGTACTCTAAAATGTCGCAAACTTTGCATTGTTTTGCCTGTGTAGAGTGTGATCTAACGGAAAATCTTTGGTGAGTCGTGCTAAGTAAGTCTTGTGTTTCTTTTACTTACGTTTGGCTCCAGGGAAGTACGACCCGTCCATCAGACATTGTTACTAAATTAAAGTTTATATTAAAAAAAAAAAAAGAGAGAGAGAGAGAGATCAGCGACCAATATTGTTCCAGCAGTTTTTTGTCCTAAAGCCTAAACCTACGTACATCTTTTGTAGAGAAAAGTAAGTTAAATGCTGCCACCTGTAACAATTTTATCACATTTTTTTCTAAGGATCAATGACTTGTTTAGTTTGTATCAACAAATCCCAGGGACCTACATCCGGGTCATTTAATATCTCAGCTTCTTTTTTCTTTTACTTTTTTTTTTTTTTTTTGTCTCCTTCAGATGAGAGTTCAGTAAATTAAATACGGGAATTGTAAAACATCTGTTCTACGTAAATTATTACCTGAAAAAATATTTCTTGTTTCGTTTGAATTAATATTGCAATTTTTGATGTTGTTATTAACGCATGCAAATCATTTGTGGCAAGTTTATGAACTTTCTTCTTTTATTCAATGTTTCACTTCGGTGGTTTAGTTATAAAAAGTTTATGTTCAGTTCAATTATTGGACTAAAAAAATTTATTTACCAAAAAAAAATCCAAGTTTTACAAAATTTACTGAAGTTAAATCTATATTTTACAGTTTTAAAAGAAAACATAGTTTGATCAGAGCGCGCGAACTTTGTAAAGAGCATGATTATCTACGAAATGAAATTAAAAAATAAAAAAAAATGTTAGAAATGAAATGATAATTAATGCGCAAACTTTGGAAAGAGCATGATTTTTTATTTACAAAATAAAAAAAATACTAGGATGGAGTATTTCTTTTTATTTTTGTAAATATAATCATGCTCTTTTCAAAGCTCGTGCAAACTTTGCGCATTAATTATTATTTGTTTTATTTTCAATGTAAAAGAAAAGCTTTATTTTATTAATTTTTTTATTTAAAAAAAGATTTACTATTAAAAAACACTTCATCGCTTTACGACGTAACTTAAATGCGGAGTAATTTTAAACGAGTAAGTTCAGTTAAGAGCAGTAAAAAGGCTCTTAATTAAGCCTCCGCGCGCTAAATGTTCCGCACTGAATGTAGTTAAACAAGGCCAGTAATGGCCGACAGCTGAACGCGACTGAGTTCGAAATTTTATTGTCGATAACTCCAAAACGGTAGGTTTCTTCATAATTTAATTGTTAATTCGGGTTCAGCATGTATATTTACACGGAATTATGACAATTTGGGAACATTTTAAGTGATATTTAGCGCGGGTGTTAAAAAGCAAATTTACCCTGAAATTAAATAATATAATAGAAAAATAAAAATTATAACAAAATTCATGCTCTCGTAATATTTACATTGAATTTATTTTTCATCGTTCAACTTTTTGCATAAAAGATATAATCTCGAATTGTCGCCCTTGAATATTTTATCGGACAGAGTAATTTTGTTTAATTTTTTTTTTAATTTCCAATAAATAGTTGCTTAAAAGAAAAATAAACTTTACTAAACTAATTCATAGTTCGCAATTGATAATAGGCAACTTACTCTGAAAGAAAAAAAAGAGTTTTTAAAATTTTTTTATTTTTGTTCATTCGTATTTTCACGGTCTTAGGCGGAAAATATTAACAAGTGTGTTATTGACAGGAGTGGAAAAGGGAAGTTAATACATCAATCGCTTAACCTTTAACCCGAGTTCATAAGAAAACAAACGCCCTGTTTAAAAACGCCATCTTCATTAAAAGTAAAAATAAAACATATTTCAATTTCATGGATATCTACTTTATTTGACTTTTGAATTAACCTATTTTGTAAACGAGAGATATCAAACAGGTCTATATTACTTTTTAAATATTTTTAGAAACGAGTTTTTTTTCGTCGACAAATCCATTGCCCAGTAATATCTTTTTAGTTTTTACTAGTGTTAGAAACCCCACTAATTCGCCAAAAAGACAGAGCATGATGGAAAAAAGCCCCGAACTTAAAAACGAAGTTTTATCTTCAAAATGTTTATGTTACTATTAAGAAGAAAGACTAAAATATTTTTTATTATTTTATTAATTTTTCTCTTCCTTTCTAGCAGGTCGAAATTTTGGTTAAAAATCCTGTTTTTTTTTACGTCAACGGTCTACGTAATATTTACCATAGCGCCTTTTTTCAGGTGAAAAACACATTAATTTGGAAATTCTTGGAAAAATCAAATAATTGTCAGATTTTAATGAAACTCTCAAGACTTATTCAAAAATGAATGAAATTATAGAGATGTCTTTTAGAAAATCATGGTAAAAATATTGTTTTTACATCTGTTGCTGTCCACCTTATAATTTTATGAAAATTCGACGATGTGCCTTTGTGGTTATGTTAGTAGTTAGTTACTTAAAAAAAAGCAGAAGATTTTGAATATTAATCGATTTTTTTGTAAAATCGAATCACTGAATTGTAACGTCCCAAACCCAACAAAACAGATTTAATTAGAAAAGCTTTTTTTTATGAATAATATATGTTTAAGGACTATATTGTATGAAGCCAAAATATTTTTCCGAGGAAAAATGAATTCTTGTGAGAATTGTTTTCTTTTTTTTTTTCTTCTTTTTTGTTTTTTTCAATTTTAAATACAAAATGTAATAATATTTGGAGAAATATTTTAAAATTAAGTTTCAATCCATGCACTTTAGGGAAGGCTGTTATTATTAAGTATATCTATCTTTACAGATCATAAATTTGAAAGCTTATTACAATCTGCGACACTACACAATACGCATGTATTTTAAAAAAGAATTTTACAGTTTTTGATTTTGTACAAAAGCTTCTTTTTTTTTTTTTTCCAAATATGTGGATGAACGTAAGTGACCTTAAATGCCACGTGTTTTAAGAGTTGTTTATCCTGACGGCAATAAACTGACCTCAAAAGATTTTAGTTACTTATTGCGAACATGTGTTGAATTCTCTGACTGTTTTTGACCATCATCGACACATTTTCAAAAGTTTTTTTTTTTTTTTTACGCCCTATTTCAGTAAATATTTTAATTTAATTTTTTAAATATAATTAATTTATTGTTTTTCAGTGACAAACATACTGCAATTAATTAAATATTTTCTTTTTTAGTTTCAATTCTAAGGACGGAAAACAAAATAATTAAAAAATTATCACAAATAACGATAAGAAGATCTTTTTTCAAGTTTGAGTCCTTTTTTATCATGGTATGCTCTTTTTCGGTGAATTAGTGGAGAAAGCCTAAAATAAGTTTTAAAACAAATTTTTAAAAAAGGAGAGTTTTTCTTTTCCTTTTTTATGATTAATTTTATGTTAGTATCTTATTTTTAAGGATAAAATTATAACGCGAAGCAATATTTATGTTTTGTAAAGTATATTAAAATTGCTTTTCAAAAATGGTTTGCTTTTCTATTAAGTTCGCACATTTTTAATTTTTAGATTTTATTTTTCGCGAATGTTTCAAGAACCATACCATTTAAGTGGACACTGACGTGAACACCGAGTGACGACAGTCTCTTTCATACTTGAACGCAATCTTCAGGCTATATTGTGCTGTACATTTCTTTTGATTTTTCAACATTTTCACCTTTTCTGAAAGAATTGTTGCGGGGCCGATAAGGATGTCGCCCCCGCAAGCTTTACAAAGAAAGGTGTGAACAGCTAAGACAATGAGGGGACAAAGGCTGTGGTGGCACGGAGCAAGCGAAGGACCGGATGTTAACCCTCAGAGGTCTAAATAGCAAATGACCAATACTGGTCTTTGCGCACCCGGCTCCACGCAGAATTTCCGGTGGAAAATAAAAAGAATAATAAGCAATTTCCACCAATAAAACGGCTCCGCGCCATACCCAACAGTTTGCTTCAGCAGACTGACTCTGAGCCGATGGGCACAAATAAATAGAGCGATAAATTCACTTCTGGTAGAGAAAGCTTTGAAGTACCGTCAGAGAATGTCGCTACGCTTTCCTCACCCATCAAACTCGACGCCTCCAGCCTTCCTTCACCACCGGAGATACCGAATGACTCCTACCAACCCATTGACCTCACCTTTCATCTCCTGTGACCAGCACGCCTTGAACTTAAGTATTAACAAAAGACACTTATATTCTTTTAATAATCTGATGTCTCTTCTATGAATGAACATTTTTATAACGGACTTTTGTGCGTGTGAATCAAGAAAAATTGTACTATTCATTGATGTTGTATTTTAATACAAAGTGTTTTGATATACCCTTCTCTTTCGTATGTTATTTTGTTTATGTATGGTGACCTCAAATTGATTGCTTGTTGAACCTTTAGACCAAACTAGCGGCTGTCCCGAAGGACTGCTACTACTACCTACCTTCTGATAAAGCAACAAGTAACAACGAATCCACTCCCCTCCAACACCATAAGGCAAAGGTATAAGAAACAATAACGTCGATATTATTTATCCAAAATGTACAAGAGTGTACTCTGGAGAAATATGTTTGTATCTGTGTCGGGTCCGGTATGACTGGGTTTTTTTCAGGGGTAGTTGATTTCGGTTGTATCGGCGGCGGTAGCTGGTCGACTGCCAGATGGGAGAATTGTCGGGAACAGCAGCAGGTTGATCGATGACGCACGAAGATTCGTTAGATCGGTTAGGACGAGTCCCTAAAAAGGGCCGAGTCAGTAGTGATACGACTTCCAGGGCGGATCAACCACGTAGGCGGGATTGCGCCGAAGTGTAGCACTTGACGAGGACGGAGTCCCTAAACAGGGCCGAGTCAGATACGACTCCCAGGGCGGATCAACCGCGGAGACGGGATCGCGCCGAAGTGTAACACTTGACGAAGCTGGTCAGAGAGGTGATACGTCTTCCAGGGCGGATCGACCGCGGAAACTGGATCACGCCGAAGAGTATTCTCTCGACAAAGCACCGGAAGCTCACAAAGGTAGCGTACTACACTTTGATCCAGCCACCCACAGGGCGTTTATTTAATTGACCCCCCACTGAGTCAGGTTGTGACACAAGATCTGTTTTTAACGTGGAGACCCGAGTGTTTTCACTCGGGCCGCTAATCATACCTTGAGATCAGGGGTT